TCTGTGCCGGGTGATAATGAGGCTCTCCCTCCTGCTCAGAGCAGCCCCCTTTTGTAAAAAAAAAAATGGATTGGGGGTAAAACATAGCTAACAAGATTCGCCATTTTAACCATGTGCATGTATATGATTCAGTGACATAACTATTTGCCATGTTATACAGCCATCGCCACATCTTAAAACTGTTTGCAGGGCAGTGTAACAGGCCACCGCAGGTACCAACCTGCTATCTGTCCATCACCTGCTCATGGACACTGGGGTGGATTTCACCTTGGGGCTACTGTCGATAAAGCCGCAGTCAACACCGGTGTCCACACTGGGTGTGGCATGCTTCTGACGATTGCCTACCTAGGAGTGCTGGCTGAGAAGGGACCCTGGATTCTGTTGAGGACCACCCCTCACTGAGCAGAGGGAGGTGGCACAACACCCCAGTCAAGAGCTGGGTGTGGTCCACCCACTCCATCTCCCTGGCCTCAGACCCAAGTCGGCCAACAAGAGCACATCCCAGCATCTCTGCCAGTGCCATTAGGAGAGGAGGGCCCTGAAGGAAGAGGAGACTCCAGACAAGGCCTGTCCCCGGGGCCAGGGACGCCCCTCCCTCACCCTGACCCAGCGAGGGAGCAAGCCTGCCTTGAAGGAGACCAGCAGAGAGGAGCAAGGAGGGGGCGAAGAAAGGGCACGTTCCAGTGATTGGATGGGACTCCTGCATCCAGCCCCCCTGAAAACCCACAACCCCCGGACTTTGGTACCGCAAGGCTTCTTCTAAACATGAGAATTTCCATCACCTGCAACCTCACCAAAAAAGCCACTGCGGTCAATTCCAAGTCACAGTGACCCTACAGGACAGAGCAGAACTGCCCCTGCAGGTTTCCGAAATGAACTTGCATCAGTAAAAAGCCTCCTCTCTCTCCCAAAGTGCAGCTGGTGGTTTGGAACCCCTGGTAATGCAAAACATACCAGCAACAGCATCTACAACCCTGAGAGGCACCGGCTGGGTAGACTCACCTCCCACCTCCTGGCCCCTCTTCTCCAGCTCCAGTTCGGCGATCTCACTCAGCAGGGTGATGCCTTGCAGGAAATTTTGCCCCAGGACCAGGTTCTGAGGGGTTCCCAGCGTCTCCAGGGGCTGGGCTCCAGCGACCAGGGGTGGCAGGGGTCTGGCCTGCGGTAGCTCTGCCGCCGCCGCCAGGGCGTTCATGCCAGCCAGTGGGTCCTCCAGGCTGGGCAGGAGCTGCTCAGAGTCCGGTTCCCCAAGGTAGCAGGAGCTGCCCGGCACGGGCATGGCCTCCAGGTCCTCAAGGCCCAGGCACTGCCCCTGCCCATCGGGAGCATCACGGTCAGGTAGTTCCAGGCTGGGCTGGGGCTCGTTGGCAGCTGAGGAGGCCAGGCCTTCCTCAGGCTCGGCCTCCCGCATGGGCACATCAACGGGCACTTCCACCGGCTCTTCCTTGGCCTCCACCAGGGTCTCAGGGGTCAGCTGCCCACCCAGGTCTGGGGCAACGATACAGGGTTCTGTCCGACCCGGTGACTGGACTCGGGCTTCGACGCGCTCCACAAAGTCAGGACACTCCGAGGGCTCCACACAGCCCTGCCCCCCAGCACTCAGTGCCTGGGCCTCCCTCAGACCGGCTCCACATCCCACGGCGGGGCTGGCAGCCGGCATGGCCTCGGCGGCAGGCAGTGCCAGCGGTGACCCTAGTGGAGGCAGCTCCGAGGGGCTCTCGTCCAGGTCCTCGGCCTCTGCCTTCACCTCCCGCTCCACCAGCATCTCCTCCTCCTCCTCCTCCGGAGGTCCTCGGAGTGGCTCGGGGATCTTGGAGGGGGGTAGGCGGATGGGCTTGTCTTCAGGCGAGAGTGCCAGGCGCTCGGGCCCATCAGCCGGGAGCGGCACGTCAGGGGCCAGGCCGTCGGCATCGGCGGCCGCCGTGGGCTGCAGCAGGAACGGAAAGGGTCTTCCATAGTGGGGCGGCAGGGTTTGGAATGGATATCTGGGCGGGATCTCTGCCAAGGAGACGGAGAGTCAGCATGTGGCCAGCCAAGCCCAGGGCCCTCCTCCAGTCTTGTCCCTGGGGAGTCACACAGCACACCAGGGACACCCACCCACCACCCTCCGCCTCACCAGCCTGCACTCGGGCAGAGGGCAAGGGCCACCAAAACTGCCACCATGCCCCTAAGGACCTTGAGGTCCCGGAAAGGGCCAGGCATCCCTTGGTGGTCCCTCTCCTACCCCTGCACCTGGATCCAGCCATGCCTGAAAGCAGCACAGCTGGGCCAGGAGGAAATCTACCCAAGTAAAAGTCTACCAAGACCCAAGAGAGCCTCTCCTAGGCAGAGCTGCCTCTAAGCCCACAAGCCCAACGACACACACGCACACACACACACACACACACCACCACAAAAGCAGAATTGGGGCGTCCAAGGAGTTCACAGTACAACGAAGGGGGCAAGCTCCATTCTGGGTGTTCTCTCAGACACTCCCACCAGCCCAGTGCTCAACCTCAGAGAGAGGGGAGCGTAGGGTCCCAGGGACAGTGCCCTGCTCAGCTGTGGCACCTCGTCTGCCAGAGAGGGGCAGCCACTGAACTAAACTCACACACAGCATCAGGCAGCACCTGAACTCGAACCCACGTTCACGCCACCTTCGAGCACAGCTTCAAGTCGTGGTCACTCCACTGACGGCCACATCATGTCAATTCCAACTCAGGGGAAGAAGGTGGCCACAAGGGAAGCTGGGACCCACCCAGCAAGGGGTTGGGCGACCCTAGAGAGCAGGGTGGAACTGCCCACCTGCAGGTCCCCAAGGCTGTAACTCTCCGTGGGAACAGGAAACCCATCTGCCTCTCACAGAGAGACTGACATGAGAGGTGGGAAACACCAGCATTTTGGTTGGGTGGCCCAGTGCTTAGCCCTCCGTGCCACCAAGGCTCCTTCCAACAGCCGCCAGGAAGGAAAAACACAAGCTCTGTCCCCCATCAGTCGCTTGCCTGCCAAGCCCTGAGACAGAAAGGAGGAGGAGAGGGAGCGTGTACGGAGAGAAAGCATGGAGGGCATAGTGTCTCTGCTGCTACGACCCACAACGCAGCCCCTGCTGTGTGCAGGAGAGGTCCCTGGGGAGTGCACCTAGTTCATGCGTCTGAAAGGTAGAGGAAGCAAGTCCAGGCTACCCGCCGAAGCTCAGCTGTGGAACCCAGGGCTGCTGGGATCTGCTGCGGCCCGCGTCTACAGCAGCTGGTCCCTCCCCTTCAAGGGCTAATTAAGCTCAGCACAGCCATGCCAAAGAAGTCCTAGCACCACGCAGCGTACCCGACAACACCACCGAGGGAGCGAAGCCAGGGGGAAGAAAAACTCAGGTGGGTCTGGTTGGAGCACCTGGAGCCTGCTGTACCTGACACTGGGGGCTGGAGACCCTCTGTGCGCTCATGGGCCTGTTCCAGAGCCTGGCGCGGGAGGAGCTCAGTAATGACTACCAGATAAAGGCGTGAGCGGAGCGGGGTCATTTTCACGGGTTTCACCCCAGGCTGCCCCGAGCCAGCTGAAGCAGCTGCAGACTGAGAGTCCCCGCAGGAAGTGGGGGCACCGCTCACCTGAGAACAAGGCCCGAAAGGAGCTGGGGGCTTCCTTCTCCACCTCCAGGTCCTTCTTCTCCACGACGTTCTCAGGTGCCTCCTCCTTGCGGGTGACGCCGGGGGCGGGTGGTGGGGAGGCCAGGGGCGGGCTGCTGGGGTGGGAGCTGGGCGTGGCGGGGTAGGCATAGCTAGGCGGCTTGGACACGTCCTCCAGCTTCTGGATGACCTTAGCCTTCAGGGCTGCCACGGGGGAGGCGTGAGGAGACAGGGGTGGTGGCGGGCTCAAGGTCTTTCCATAGGAGCCCGTGGGGCCGGCGGTCTTCCTCGGCAGCAGCCCAGGACCGGCCGTGGCCAGGCCAGCTTTGCCTGTGGCCTCCAGGCCCCTCCTGCCCACCTTCTCCTCCATCTCCACGCGGTGTTCCTGAGCCTTCAGCCGCTCCTGCTGGGGGGGGGGGGGGGGGGCGGGCGGGGGCGTGGGGGGGGGGGGGGGGGGGGGCGCGGCAGCAGGGTCAGTGGGGCAGGGGCAGGGGCACTGCCCATCCCAGGGCCCCGTAGAAGCTCAGGTGGAATCCAGGTTCCAGCCTGCCTGGACATTCCGGGGTGGCAGGCGTGTAACAGGCACTGGGTTCCGCAGGGATCCCCAGCACAAGGGTGGCTGGGGGTGGGGCTCAGAGCAGGGACAGCCACAGGGGAAGCTGGGACCCTCCCAGGGGCTGGGTGGAGGCAGGGAACTTCTCAAGAGTCACAACCTTTGAGGCACACGCCCCTCAGGTCCCAATCTCCGTGCCTGATCACCTTGAGCTCTCAAAATTCCCTCCTCTGCACCCCTACTGTCCTCACTGGGATCCCCTTAGGCTAACCACCCCCAGAAAACAGCCCCAGGGTGGTGCGGCTCTCTCACTACATGGAGCCCATTCCAACTCACAGGGACCCTACAGGACGGGGTAGAACTGCCCCAGTGGGTTCCAGAGACTGTCACTCTTTACGGGAGCAGCAAGCAAGCCCCATCTTTTTTCCCAAGGGGCGGCCCGTGGTTTCAAACTCCCGGCCTTGGGGTCAGCAGCCCAATGTGTAACCACTAGGCCAAGAGAAAAATCTCGAGAGCAGAGATGTTGAGCCCTTTTTGAGGCGGCAGCAGAACCGAGACCCAAACTGGGAGCAGCTGGCCCCTGGTGCCTTGCTCTCTGGGTGCCCCCACCACCCTCCCGAGAGGCTGCAGAAGAATTAAGGACTTGCAGGAGCATGGCCACACTCTGAGAACCCTGAAGGCAGGTGCCCCATCTCACGGGAGGGGCAGGCCACCCAAGCCCTCCCATGCTGCTCTGAGACCACACAGAGAGGAGGGGGATGGAGTCAGCAGATGGAGCCCCAGCCCAGTGCACAAGCTTGCCACTCCAGCCTCAGTCTCCCCGAGGAACCTGCACAGTTGCCGCCTCCTCCTCCGGAAGCCCTCCCAGGTCCCCCACCCCAACCCCACCCCCCTGCACAGTCCGTAGCCATGTGCAGGAGCCGGTTGCTGCCTCACCACGGGCAGGGGTCCCAAGAAGGGACCTCACTCACCACCAGCTGGGCGCTCCTCTGCAGCTCCAGGGCCTGGGCTGCCTGCTGCTGCAGGTAGAGGAGCTCCTGCTGGCGCAGGAGGTGCTGCTGGGAGAAGATCTGCAGCTGCTGCGCGTGGTGCAGGGGGCTGCGGCCCGCCGCCGAGTACAGCGCCGGCCAGAGCGGGGGCCCGGCCGCCCGCTCCATCAGCTCTGCTGCGAGGAGACGGGCATCAGGCCACCCCACTTCACTCCAGAGTCGCCAGGGGACCCCCCTTGGGCGGAAGTGGGGACATACCTTAGGCCCTCTCAGGAACCAATCCTAGGGACAACGGGGGACGGGCCTGTCCTAAGGCCTACCAGGAGCTAACTCAACTCCAGCCTCGCAGTCCCCAAGCTCCCCCATCCTTACCCCACCGCTGCAGTCTATAGGCTGGGCCCCTTGAGGGGCATCCTACAAGGACAGGGAGAGGTCCCCGAGCTCCCAGCCGCCCATCCACCTTGTTTCTCCTCTGGGACAACCTCAGTGGCTTTCAAACTCAGGTCAACCTCCTCCAACCCAGGTCTGCCCACCATCCCGATCCTGCCAGGACCCACCCGGCACCCACCTCCCACACCCCCACCCCCCGACCCCGCGGGACAGCTCCTGGCCACCTCCCCCAATGCCCACTCACCAAAGTGAGGCAGGTGGTCACTGGGAATAACCACCAGCTGGCCCGACTGGGGGTCCCTGACAAACTGGTAGGCAGAAGGCAGGGAGCCCCCCAGGCCGGGCGGGAAGGCGGGCGCCATGCCCTGGTGCAGAGATGGGGGGCCCAGGCCTAGGAGAGGGGTACAGGCCATGTCAGGGCTGGAGGCTGGGCCACCACTGCCCACCCAGCCTGTAGCAACCCTAGGCCCCATGCAAGGAGCTGCGGGGCAAGAGGGGGTGCTGGTCACAAACAGCTCAGACCAGCCCCTACGTTGAGCACAGCACTGAACACCCCTCCCCCCAAGCTGGTTCTAGAATTGACCTCTGAGGACAAACGAGAGCACCAAAGCTTTGCAGAGGGCACTTTGCCAGACACAGGGCTCCAGCCGCCTCCCAGGGCCTCTGAGGACCATGGAGGAGGGCGGCACTCCCAGCTCACAGCAGTCTGCATCCACCAGGGGGGGGGGGGTCAAGGGCCTACACTGCTCCCTGAAGGAGAGCTTCCTCCACCCCATTCATGATGGGGGTGCCCCACCCCCCCCACTCACCGTAGGGGTGCCCAGCAAGCCACATGGAGGTGCTGCCTGAGCGGGGCAACCAAGGGTGCGTGGCCAGGTGGGCTGCGGGGTCGGCAGACCAGCGACCAGAGCCCGAGAGCGCAGGGCCCCCGGTTACCATGAGGTTGGGGTTCAGGCCGTTGGCCGCACAGCTGGTGGGGTGCAGACGGGCCAGGTCAGCCAGCTCCTTGCTTTCTCTGCAAGAGGGGGCCAGGGTATCAGGCACGCAGTGGATGCCCAGCCAAGGGGAGAGGTGGGGCCTGTGGCGTGTGGCCTCAGGGGAGGGACAGGGGAAGGGGAGCTGCCAGGTCACCCTAGCCCAGCACCCCCACCAGGCTGTCAGAGAGTAGGTGGGCACATCTCCCCAGGGCACAGCTGCTCCCCCCTCCCTCCTGGACCTTCAGGGCACATGAGAGGGGTAAGGAAGAAGAGCCTCTCTCCCAGGCTCACCGGAGCAGCTTGTCCTGGTCCCGGTCCAGCAGCCGCTCCTCCCGGTGCTGGCTGCGTTCGTCCACACCGCCCTCCTCCGTGCGCCCGTGCCCTGAGCAGAGAAGCAGGCGGGCTGTCAGCCCCCGAGCTGGCCCTGCCTGCCGACCCCAGGCGCTGAGCCCCACCATCCTGCTGACCTCTCCCCTCAGCCAGCCCTCCAGCCCGTGTTGTCCCAGAACCCGCCACTCTACCACCACCTCCAGCCAGCCAGCGGCCAGTCGCCCCAGTCCTGGCCGGCCACCACCCTACAGACCCAGGCCATTGCTGTCAGGGGACAGATGTCCATGGCTGCCGTCAAAGCTGGGTGTTCCCGTCATTCACCCCTACGTGACAGAGCCTCTCCCCCCAACCCCACCCCCTCGGTGCAGGGCCACCACCTTTCTACAGAGCAGCTCTGGGGGCACCGTGGCTGAGCATCTGGGGTGCTCACAGGGGTGTCTGCCTTTGCTCGCCCATGGTCATCACTGGATAGGGGGGACCCATTCCTCACACCAGGCTCCCAGACAGGGAAACGGAGGCACACTTGCTCCAACCCTATGATTCACAAGAGCCACACACCCCAGCCCCCACAGGGCTCCCACGCCCCATCACAGGGCAGGATCTGGAAGCCCAGGGCTCAACATCTGTGTGTAGAAGAGTTCCCAGCAACCCCGCCCCGCCCCCAGCACAAGCCCCTACTGTCCCCGGGGGGACGGCCAGCCTGTCCAAGTGTCACGCACTTTCCATCCAGGCCAAGCAGCCGAGGCTCAGCTGAGGTCTGGTTGCCATGGAAACCCCCTCCAAAGCATCTCAGCAGAGGAAGAATACTGGGGGGGAGGGGGGGGGCAAGGCAGCAACCGGGTACCCTCCACCCTCTACCAAGCACTCACCCCTGTGGTCTCAGGAGCTGGGGACACCCCCCCCCCCAAGACCCAGGCGGAATGGATCATCCCTGAGTGGCACTAAATGGGGACCCCAGGGAGCTGACAATCCCAAAGGCTCCCCCCCACAGAGATGGCTCCCAAGTCAGCCTTGGGCCCTCCCCGGACAAAAATCAGCCGCTGCAAACACGCCACTATTCACGACAGGCCGAGGGTGGAGCACAAGCCGAGGGACCATGCACCCGACGGACAGCCAGGTAAGCCTGCTCACAGAAGGAAAGACACGCTGCGGCCCGCCCCACCGTTTGCCGGGAGACCACGACGGCGAGTGGAGGAAAACCAAAAGCCAACCTCGCTGCCACGGAGCCGAGGCCACCGCACGGAGCCCCTGCAGGCCGGAGCCTGTCTGCTGGGTTTCCAAGAACTCCGGCCAGGAACAGAGAGCCCGTCTTACGACCTGTGGAGCGGCTGGCGGCCCTGGCACACTGCTGACCTGCAGATCAGGGCCCAACCCATAAAAACCCCTCCAGGGCTCCTGGGGTGGGGGGTTAAGTCAGACAAAAAGAATGCTGCAGCCCCTAGCAGGAAACTTCCCAACAGAAAAGTAGTGGAGAGCGGATGGTATCTAAGTAACACCTGGGCCAGGAAAAGCATGCAGAGCCGGGGACGGTGGTTGTCTGGTTCTCGGTCGGGCCGCCAGGAAGGGGGCATGGCAGTTACAAGTCACCAGACCAGGGGTGGGGTAGGGGATGAAAAGATTTAGAAGCAGACAGGGGTGCTAGTTGCCTGAGCACCCCTATGCTGTGGTGGGTCTGTGTTGGGCTGGTCACCACAAGGCCAGGGGTTTGACATGCTGGAGAAGGCCGAGGCTCCCCACGCCTGTACAGTTAAGGCTCAGAAACCCCAGGGGCAGGTCCAACCTGTTCAACAGGGTCGCCGTGAGCCAGCCTCCACTCGATGGCAGTGCGTTTGGTGAAAGCGAATTGCCTAAGGCCATCCCATAATGACTGCCCCTAAACCCACCTACTTAGAAAGGGGGACACGCTGGCAACTGCTGTTTGAAGTGTTGCTGCCACAGTCACTTTTCTGAGAAAGAGTGTGGCTGACAAGGGTAGAAACCACCCGCTAGGCTGGGGTAAGACCCCCCCCCTCCACGTCCAACACCCCAGATGATTGGAGCCCCTGAGTTCTCCAAGCTCCCCACAAGACCCTCTGTGGGGAGACCCTCTGCGATATGACCAATTAACAGAGTATTTCTCCTTGTGATTAAGGAAAAAGAATCTTCCCCCCCTCCCCACCTCCTGACCTCTCAACCACCAGCACCCACAGAGAAATACCTGGATTATCCCAAACCCAAACCGAGCGCCCGACATGCGCTCACGCGCGCGCGCGCACACACACACACACACACACACCCCTCACTCGCTCAGACACATGACCCCAGGGAGATACACACACACAC